AGTAAGGAGGGAGCAGGACAACTATATATGGTGTAGCTTCGAATTCAGGTCCGTGTTTCAGCAGTTATGGGTTAATGACTTGCTAACTCAGCATGTGATTTTCAGGGCTTCACTCCACTACTCGCCAAATGTGCAAAACCCGAATGAATCTTCTCCTAGAAACTGAAACCATACAAGGCATATGTTTTTCTTTTGCGCAAGTGCTGATGAGTGGAGAGAGGCCCTTAGGGCCACTGCACGTAAGAAAGTAAAACCAAAAAAATGAGACAACTACTGTAGTGTTTGTAGTAAGGTCTACTGTAAACCCATAACTCTTGGAACACATTCCTGAATCCGGATCCAGAATATATTGCTGGCCTGCTCATATTCCTCCAGCAGTTCGATGCCCGTCCTTCCAAATGCATGGGATCCCTGCTAATGGGATCCCTGCTAATTCTTTGCAGGGGACCCCCTTTGGAAAAGAGACTAGATCCAATGAGGAGTTTGATGTGGCCCCCTTTTTTTTTTTTTTTTTTTTTCTGTGCACTTACAATTTTCACAAGGGAGACACACATTTGGTTACCACAGCCCGCCCTTTTGATTTTTTTTGTGTGCATGCGCTATGTGGTGCACGTGCGCACCTTGCGCGCATGTGATGCGCCGCATGTCTGGTTTGGAATCTTTGGATACATTGTCATTCACGACTTTCCTCTCTTTGGAGTAAAATTTGCGAAACCGTGCCGGAAAGGCATTTAAATTTTAAAACCGAAAACCTTGACTGCACCCTAGTTTTCGCTGCTGCTTTTTTTTCCCCATCCAAGAAACCACGATTCCACGACAACAACGTAATTTCCATCAGAGAGACTCAAAACCTTGTTAACTTCCACCGCAGGCAGTTGAGAAACACCGAAAGTTGCACGGGACATCAACCCCGCAATATCGTTCACCCATTCTGCCTCCTAATAAACACACGCAAATGACACTCACATCTGCCTCCTAATAAACACACGCAAATGACACTCACATGAACTTAACGTATGAAGTTACAAATGACCAACCAGGAAAGCCCGCTCCCCATTTCACAGCTGAGCAGAATAGAAAGACAATAAGAGAGAAGAGGGGAGAGGCTGACATTCCCAAACGCGATGCAGGACTCAGGTCAATCCATTGTCCGAGAGGGTAATGCTTCCCCATTGGAGCAGAGGTGTTCTTGTCTCCTTCCATTGCCTCCTGGACATCAGCAAGCGCCTTCCCGCATAGTCAAGTCAGGCAAGTGAAAAAAACAAAAAAACAAACAAAAAGAAAGTGTACAGGTGATTCCCCCCCCCTCCATTGTCCGAGGGGTAATGCTTCCCCATTGGAGCAGAGGTTTTCTTGTCTCCTTCCACTGCCTCCTGGACATCAGCAAGCGCCATCCCTCGTAGCCGAGTCAGGCAAGTGAAAAAAAGAAAAAAGAAAAAAAAAGTGTACAGGTGACCCCCCCCCCCCTCCCCCAGCTCCAGGTCTAAAAATAGACCTGGTCATCCAGCATGCAGCAGGTATGCTAAGACCTCATGGTGGACATCTTGCGCATCATGACAACACCAGTGGTTAAGGGGGTAAGAACTGTTTTCATTGCTGAAATCAGTTTTTTTGTGGCCAGATTTTCACTTTCTTGCTAGGTTGTTGGATCGGACGTCCCAGACCGTCCGGGATGTCCGACCGGACGCCCGACCGGACAGGGTATGTCCGACCTAGCACAAAAAAAAAAGAAAAAAAAATCCTCACAAAAATCTGAAAAAAACATATGTTATGTAACATAACAATACAAGCAACTTTTGCCTTGGAGTCATGTTCAAATTCGCAGCCAATCATGAGTTAAAAATAAAAAACCGAAAAACAATTTATTTATTTTTTTCCAAAAAAAAAAATTGTTTTTCCGGACGACGGGGGTACCGGACGTATGGGGAGACGTCCAAGGGAGACGACCGGCCCCCGGACCATTGGTAACCTAGCTTTCTCGTGATTTTTTTTTTTTTTTGACTGCTGGAATTGTGTCTGGTGACCATTTCTCAATGTTCAGAAGTGTTTTCCTCCATTGGAATTATCTGCGGCGACCATTTCCAAAAAACGCTGAAAATTCTGTTTTTTTTTTTTTTGTAAAGAAAATACAGCTGCCTTCTCCTCATATGGGGGAATGCAAATTTCCATTTAAGTGCACTTTTGTGTCGCCGACAAACGAACAGAGAGTAGTTGGAGCAGAGCACAAAGGACAGCACACAGCCTCTCCTAGCTCGCACTCTGGTCAAACTGGTCATACGTTCCTCGGCGCCCGGACAATGAGCTGAGCTTCAAATCCAGCAAGAACTTATGGTTGTTCTTGTCAAGATTCCAATACCCAAAAGGCTTGACTGGCTGCCTCCACTGCTCCTTAGTTTTTTCACACTTGCCTTTCATCTCATATATATGCTCCCGGAATTTCTTGTCGCGCTCCTGTGGGTCCTCCATCCCTCGCCTAATTAAGGCCTCCGCAAACTCCATGATGAAAGACATCCTGCCGTCCGTTCCCTCGAAGAGCGCCCCCTCTGCGCAATTCCTTGCTGTGCCGCACGCAGCTTAGAACAGGATCGACCGTGGCAACGACAAACCACGCAGGCCCCTTCTGGAAGCAGAGAGCAAACAAAACTGAGGAGTGTCAGTGAACAAGAATTTGTTGACAATCCCCACCTAGACAGGTTTGTTTCGACTTATGGAAAGGATTCATGGAGGCTCAGTGCCCTGGTCCTGTCCCCATCCCAAGTGCGAGCCGCATGTCCCCACTCCAAGAGTAGCAGTCTCCAGTCCCACTCCCGAGTCCGAGACGCGTGTCCCAGTCCTAAGTCCCATTCCATGTTCCATTAGTGGCCCTACCCACTTGTACAATATCCACGAACGCATAAACAAGGGTACCTTTCGTTTGTACATCCATGACAGATATCTAGGTAGGTTAGTTACTGAAGTAGATTGTGGCAGGAAGTCCCTAGTAGATAACAGTTATGGGTTGAACAGTAGGTAGGCACCGCAAGCTCCAGCCAAGAGAACAAAGGCCGTTAGACCAAGTATCGGTCAGTGCAACCAAGCAGCCACATCCAAAGAGAATCCGCAAGCTTCCAGAAGCAGCAAACACAGGCAAGGGCACCAACCCATAACCAGCAGAAGAAGTCTGGAAGGCGGATCAGCAAGTACACAAGTTCAGCGACGCGTGGCCGTCAGCACATGATGCTTCACATACAATGCTGTGGTCAAGTGTTTGACTGAGCGAGTCAGAGTGAGCGTAGGGCGAGGACTGTGAGACCGAGTGTAAACGAGGTAGAGACTGTAACACGACAGAGGAATAAGAGAGGGATTTTACCTGTATGTTGACTTGAGCTTCCATAGCCACCGCCAGTGACAAAGGAGACGGCTACATACATTTTTTTGGACTTTCATCATATCTCCTGCGTGTCTTACGCATATGTGCTGTGGTTTGAGACTTATTTAAGTTATTTTCGAAACTTCCATGCACGGTCGTCTCATTGCATTTTTAGTATTTTTACTACATTAATGATGAAACCTGCATTACCAACCGCGCCGCCCGTATCACCTTGGTTGACCTGCCAGGGTAGGTACCTGAAAAAAAATGAAAAAAAATGAAAAAATCCGAAAAAAGAACTGCGTTGATAAGAAATATAAAGTGAAGGCGATTTGCCTCGGGTCGCATAAAAATTCTTTGCCAAACTAAGGTGAACTTCCAGTCCGACCTGGGTTCCTCCTCCAACCGGAACCGGGCCGGTAGAACCGGCCGGTCGACCATCCCGGTTCACCCCCGGTACTCCCCAGTGCATGTTCGCTGGGAAGGTTTTCCGCAGTTCAAACGCCGCGCGGGTCCAGGACGAGGCTCTAGGAGGCCAGCGAACCAAAAAAAAAAATTAAAAGGGTCCAGTAGGCCCGCCCGCAATGACTCAAAAGAGTGGGCGATGTGGACCACCGATCTCGAGAGATCGGCGGCCCAGATTGCCCGCCGTTTTGAATCGTTGCGAGGGGGAAACTGGTCTTTGCAGAATTTCCCAAGCGGCCCGACTACACCGAACCCACCACCCAGCACTGGCCATAACTTTTGCGTAGCAGCCCTCGACACCTCGCGCGTCCTTCCCGTCCGTCACCATGACACAGCAGCCTTCTACACCTCGTGCGCTCTCCAACCCACGTGCCTTCGCCCGTGCACCTTCGCGTCCAGCCCAGGGGGAGAAAGGTAAGCCATAGCCATATTTTTCTTCTTCATGGTCTTCTTCTTTCTTTCTTTCTTTCTTTCTTTCTTTCTTTCTTTCTTTCTTGAGAGAGAGAGAGAGAGAGAGAGAGAGAGAGAGACGCCATCTTTTTCGCTGCCCAACTCGTAACCCCTGAAATCCCCCCACCCTACCCCCCGACCTCCATAGAATGAAACTTCTCTGTTCACAGTTTTCTTTGCGGATTCAGGGAGATCTCGGCAAGCGCAGTTCGACCAAGCTTTCAAAAAAATCTATATAAAAAAAAAAAATTGACCCACTTTTTGGCCCAGCCGGAATTCCGGTTGGATCCGGCCCGGTCCAACCAACCGGGCCGGTTGCCTGCACAGCCCTGTTGCCAAACTAATACGTTTTATTTCGTTACTTTACTAAATTTCCTGAAAAGGTTTTCGAAGTGTGACCTCATCCAAAAAAAAAAAAAAAAAAAAAAAAAAAAAGTTTGAGTCTGTTTGACCTAATTCCTACACCAGCGAAAGTTCTTAGTATGAACCTTGGGTTGCTGGGTGTTGTTGGGGTGTGTTGGGGGTTGTTGGGGGTTGTTGGGTGGTTAGGTGGTTGGGTGTTGGGGGGTGTTGGGGTGTGTTGGGGTGTTGGGCATTGGGTTATGAGAGGAGCCAGCAATAGTAGGTATCCTGTATAGAACCTAGCATTTAATTACCCAAATACCACTCAGACACAGCCGGGTGCATGGATGCTACAATGACATGGCAATGTGCACCCTAAAGGACGAAGTTCATGGGATAGCCGATAAAAGGGCAGGCCTACACCTTTTGATGGCCTTTTGGCTAAAAATAGATCAAGTGCAGTGCATCTGCTCAGACCGGTTCGGTACCTCATCCGTGGTCCGACAAACCACACGAAAAAAGAAAAAAAAAAGGCCAGGACTTTCCTGCTTTTCCGTGGACCAAGACTCAGGGCCTCGCCACATCACTGTCGAAACAAAAAAAAGAAAGAATGCATCTACCCCAGAAAGTGGTAAGACGCATCCGTTGCTATTCATAGTAACGGATGCATCTTGCCACACTCTGCGTGAAGATGCACTTAAGATGCACTTGAACTTTTTTCGTTTCAACAGTGGTGTGGCCAGGCCCTCAGTAACTAGTAGTATTTCCATCTTGCACATCCAGCTACACCGGCGGAAGCAAAGCGTACCTAGGAAAAAAAAAAAAAAAAAAAAAAAAAGCGTACCTAGGGCGTTGCTTCAGCATGCAGCGTTCGACAAGTATCTCGTCTGTTTAGGGATAATATACATTTGGACTGATCGAACATTTCAAATGTACTGGGACCCATCTGTTGGGCTCAGGGGATTTTTTTTTATTTTTTTTTTCCCAAAACACTGAACCGTTATATTCCAAATTATTTGAACGAGGCCGGGGACTTCACAATTCTACCCCGAGTTATCCTGGCAGCACCAGCCAGTTTAGCTTACAGTCATCAGACTGAGGAATTGCGAATTCCCTTTCAATCAATACAGAATATATCTTCCTTCTACCCAATGTCACAACTGTCCTATCTCTACACTTTTAATCTCGCATCCGACATACTAGAGTAACTTTCCATACTCTAGCGGAAGATTCACTCTCGTTTTGCACATTTCTACAGTAGTGCAGCGAGGCCCATAGATGGACGACCTCCATCTGCACTCGCAACACATCGCTGGCAAACACTGCTAGGAGAGGAAATACCAGATGCGGAAATAAAGTTCAACCGACTGTGGAAAACTTTGACCAGCCTCCCGAATGGTAAACAGGTGAGCCTGCTGTGGATGCTCTCGCTGTTAGCAACCCCATCTGCTGTCTGGGTACTAAGTAGAGGAATGGTGGTGGAGCTGCGCTGTAGAGATGGTGTAACTGGCCTTTTAAGTCGACCCGACACCTGTGGTGGGAATGCCCGGCTTTCAAGAAACTATGGAAGTGGTGGGAATATCATTGGAAGAGAATGGAAGGCAGAGGAGTGGAGTGGGATGAGAGATGGGTCCTACTAAGGTTCTTCCCACCAGAGCTGAACGAAAAGGAAGGGGGAGGATACGTGGCGCAGGTGGTCAGAGGCATGCTGTTTGACATTATCTGGGAAGACAGAAACCGAGCACATTTCCAAAACGGGCTCATGTCAGATATAGAACTGAAAGGCAAAGTCAAACGAGCAATCAAAACAGCAATCCGAGTTGATCGGAGAAGGAAGGCAAGAGCGGGCACTAGCAGCAGAAGACAAATGGAATGGTTCAGGAGGACGTGGGCCAGACAAGAGCAACTGGCAACAGTTCACCCGGTCACAGGACTCGGGCAATCTAAATGGATTTTAGAGTTGCATAATACAGGTAGTTAGGAGCTAAGAAAGGAGAAATGTAGGCAATTTGTTGGGCGGGGCGAAGTAAACCAGTGGGTGTAGACTAAGTACCAGGACACTCGGCTCGTTAGAGTCTCAGTGAGTGGACT